GCAAATCTGGTTGGGATTAAAATACCCCAACAATGAAAGCCATGATTATAATCCAGTGACTGCAATCCTGCAAGCTATCCCTTCTCAGTCTGGGGTCTGGCAAGTTCCAGGCAAGTCACCAAGCCGGGCAAGAGGAAGAGCACTTGGTTAGAACTGCAAAACAGAGGAATCTGGCACATTCCATGGGACTCCCGGAAGGAGTCAAGACCGGGCCACTCTGTTTCCTGATAAAGAAACCGAAGGTCAGAGCAGGGCAGTGCTGGGCTTATGGTCCCACAATGAATGAAGGGCCAGCAGGCAGGAAGCATGACCTACCCAGTTCCATGTCCACCCAATCTCCTCACTCTGATGTGGTTGGGTCCATTTTGCCAAGTTTATGCACAGAACGACATACTGACTCACAGTGTTTGCTACAAGCTTTATGGTCCTGACCGCCTGCCCCGCCAAGCCCCGGGGTTAGCTCTTGGGATTTTCAGCAGTACCTCTAACGGCCCAGGTACTCTGAAGGGTCACACTGTACCAGGGGCTATTTGATGAGGTGGGACAGAGAGATCAAGGTGGGGGTACTCTTTGGCGAATGTGCAGCAGGAGTTGCCCGTGGTCCTAACCAACAGCAAAGTGGCGTGAGAACTGGAGGGGCACCAAACCAGAGACGTGAGACATTGCATTGACCAGTAACCAAGAGACCTGAGTTCTAGTCCCAGATGGGCAGTGAACCCCTCAGCTGCTCTCAGCATTTGGTTTCTCGCTTGAAAAGGAAAGTGTTTGAGCCTGATGGTTCTGCAGCTAGGTCCCAGCTTGAAGCGTGAAGGGGACGTGGGAGGGGACAGCGCAGGGCTGCTGGTTCTGGCCACTCGTCCGCAGAGGAAACCGGCGCCCCGTGATTCAAGAAAGTCTGGGTCTGGGTAATGAGGACCATCATGATAACGCCTGATGTTTATGGAATGGCAACCACTGCTGGGTACCCCGGACAAAATTCATGTGTTTAGGCTCTAATCCCCAATGTGACTATCTGGGGATGGGATCTGAGGAGGTAATAAAGGCTAAATGAGATCATAAAGGTAGAGTCCTAATCCAATAGGACTGTAGCCTTCTAAAAAGAGGAAGAGAGCCTTGGCTGGTGTGTCTTAGTGGTTAGATTGTTGGCCTGCACACCAAAGGGTCGCCAGTTCTATTCCCAGTCAGGGCACATGCCCAGGTTGTGGGCCCAATCCCCAGTGGGGAGCATGCAGGAGGCGGCCAATGCATGTTCTCTCTCATTGATGTTTCTATCTCTTCCTCTCTCTCTAAAATCAATAAAGAAAAAAAAAATTTTTTAAGGAAAAGAAAGAAAAATGAGGTAGAGAGCTTTCTCTCTCTTCCTCCCACTTTCCCCACGACTCTGTTTCCCTCGACCATGTGAGCACAGAGCAAGAAGGCAGCTGTCTGCAAGCCAGGAAGCATTGGAGCCTTGATCTTGGACTGCCAGCCTCCAGAATTCTGAGAAAGTCGATTTATGTTGTGTAAGCCCCCCAGTCTGTGTTATTGTGTTACGGCAGCCCACGCTGACTCAGGCACAGTCATACAACAGAATCATCTTCCTTCCCCCTCAGCAACCTCCTGGGGTGGGTTCCATGATAATTCCCACTCCACTGGGGAAGAACAGAAATGCACAGAGATTAGCTCACACAAGGCTGAGTTTCAATACAGATACGTCTGAAAATGTCAATACGTGACTGTGGGAAGTTAATTAATCTTTCTAATCCTCAGGTTCCCTATTTGTAAAGTGGGAATAATAATAGTACATATAGAGATAGACAGGCAGACAGACATGGATATATAGAGATATATAGAGATATAGGCATACTAACTGCATTATAAATTGAGTGAGGATTGAATTTTAACAAGTGTCAGGTGCTTAGAATGGTATTCTGTTGCATGGTAACTTCCACTGGTGTTTGTTATTATTGTTGTTGTTGATGTTATTCTCCTATTCCTATATTGCCAATCGCAGATTTCATGTTCTCTCTCGTTCTTGTGCCTTTAATTGTACCACAGGACCCCTCTGCCTCTGTGGTCACAGCCTCGGACCAGGGGTCGACCCCCGACCTGAGGGATTAGCCATCAGATTGCTCTCCTAGGGCTGGGGATTAGAAATGGGAGGGCCGAGTCCTGTGGTGGTGAGCAGTACCCCTGCTATGCTGTGCCTTGTGCAAAGAGACGATGCTGGCTGGGAGAAAGGAGACTAAAGTAGCAGAGAGGAGAGATCAATGCCACTGAGAGAAGAGAGATGGAAGACTGGTCAGTTCTCTGAAGCTAAGGCAGGAGCTTGAGACGCGGGCAGCTTCCATGTCTAGTAACCCTGAGACTGAGCTGTACTTCAGTTTCCATACCTTCATTGCCTGCTGTGCCCTTATCATGAGTGCCCCTTTCTGTGACCTGGACCTTGGGGTAGGGGTGACTGCATGGGTGGGCTCGAGGTGCCTGCCTCCACCCTGTGCCTTTGAATCAAGCCGACTCCCCAAATCACATGGCCAAGGATATGTTGGGGGCAACTGTCCAGGACCCATGAGTTTCTCTAATGCCTTTGCTGTTATGTTCTCCAGTCGCCTGTTTTCCATCCTTGCAGCCTGTCTCTCATTTTGCCCCCACTCATCCTTTGGAACTGATCCCAGGTCTAACTGTTCTGCATTTGACTTCAGGACATCTCTTGCCCTCCTGCTTGGCTTTTCCTGTCCCCCACTTGCCAGGGCCAGCTCTCCAGGACCCCAGCTGACGCTGGCCGCCCCACAGTGGCCCTGCCAGGTGTGGCCTCTACTCCACCCTGAGCGGTGTGTGGTTAGAGTTTCCTGGAGGTTTCCCTGGGGACTCTGGCTGTGAAATGACACCACTGGTTTGTCCTCAATGCCTCCTTTGTGGCTCATCATTGCAGTGCCACCACCTGGGTGACACCTTCCCTGCCTGCTCAGCCTCACCTGCCAGACTTGCCCTCAGGGCCTCCCAGCCCCCATCCAGCCCTTGGCCGGCCCACGCACTGCTCTGGGTTGAGAGCTATCTTTAACTGTGTGTTCCTCTCCCCTGCTGGAGACAAGGCCCTGGGAACAAGGCCTCCTTCGCCCACCATACCTAACTCAGTGCCCAACACACCCAGGTGTTTGCGGGCGGGAGGGGCCCATGCCGCCATGGGTGGTCCAGGAAGTGCTGAGGGCCTTGTGCTGCGGCCCCATTCGGCCCATTCCCGTTCTCCCACTTCTCTGCTCGCTTCCTCTACCAAGAACCCTGTGAGGGTTAATTTTACACAACAACTTGACCAAGCCTCAGGATGCCCAGATGGCTGCTTCAACATTATTTCTAGGTGTGTCTGAGGGACTTTCTGGAAGGAATTAGCATTTGAACCAGTGGACTGAGTAGAGATCCACCCCCACCAGTGCAGATAGCTATCACCCCACGGGTTGAGGGACTGACCAGAACAAAAGGGTGTGGAGGAAGGAATGTGTTCTGTCTCTCTGCCCGGCTGCGCGAGCTGGGACGTGAGCTGCCCTGGGACTGAACTCCACCGTCGGCGCGCGCTCCTCGGTCTGCAGCTTGCAGATGGCAGGTGGCCTTCTCAGCCCGTCGCTCATGCTCTCTCCACACACATAGCTCTAGCTCCAACGGGTTCTGTTACTCTGGAGAACCTGGTGAATGCATACTCCTTCCCACCTCCCTACCTCCCCGCCAAAAATGAAACAGGGCCCAAGGATTGCACTAGGCCATGAAGTTATAAAGTTACTGGGCTGCCATAGACTGAGTGCTTGTGTCCCCCCAAAACTTGTATGTTGAAAACCTAACCCCCAATGTGAGGAGGTGACGCCTGTGGGATGTGATTAGATCATGAGGGTGAAGCTCTTATGAATGGGATTAGTGCCTTTATAAGAGACCCAGCGAGCTCCCTCGACTCTTTCTCATGCAGGACACCGTGGGAAGCCGGCTGTGTATGAACCAGGAAGCAGGCTCTCACCATGGAATCCTGGCACCTTGATCTGGGACTTCCCAGCCTTCAGAACTGTGAGAAATAAACTGATCAGCACCCCCAGCCTATGGCATTCTGTTTTAGCAGCCCCTACAGACTAAGACATATACCTTAAAAGCTGGCTCCCAAGGGCAGAGCTCCCCCACAAACTTCTGCTTCCTGGAGCAGACCGGTGATGCCCAGGGGACCCAGCTGTCCTTTGTGTCCAGGGGACCCTGGAGAGCCAACCCGTTTGGGGCAGCCCTGGCCTGGTCTCTTCCACCTTTTCTGTTTTAACTCCTTGTCTTAGAGACAAAAGGGGGAAGCAGGAGGTGTCACTCAGGGGTCCAGGCCTGTCTTATTTTCCAGTCTCATTTACCCAGAGTTCTAGGGCCCTGCTGCCCGATTAACAAAGCTCACCTTGTTTCCCACTGGGTCCTGCTCTTCACGGGTAATTCCCCCGACACCCCTGCTCCCGGTGCCAACAGGACCATCGTGAAGTCCCAGCAGAGCTCAGTGTTTCTGTAGTGAGGGGCCAGGGGTTTAGACCCAGACCCCACAGTGTGACTGAATAGCTAGGGGACCCCTCGTCCTCTGGTTCCCCTTCAAAGGCCACGGGAGGTGGAGCACCTGAAGGCATCATGCCCCCGGCCGGGCAGAAAGGATCAGCAGACACCTCCTCTTGGAAACAGCTCTTTACTGAGTCAGTAATACTATGTTGCATGATAGCATATGTAGACAGGAGAATTACATGGCATTGGGGATGGGCAGGAGTGCAAACCAGTTGCACATCTATGACGAGAAGGAGATGGTACCAAAGCAATTGGAGTGGGGGGGGGGGCTGGTCTCTGAGTCAGGCTGGGGAGCAGGCAGCTCCATGAGGCACCCCAGGGGTGTGGGGCTCTGCTGGAATTCAAAGGCTGGGCCACTTCACAGTGGGTGGAGCCTATGGGCGCCTTCTCCCTGCGGGGAAACTTCCTGGCGCTCCTCCTGCCAGGGTGCGAGGAAAGGTGGAGGTGGGCGGGGGAGGGGCGTCCAGATGAGCCCCTTGTGGATGTTTAGGCCCTTCCCTCCTTGTTCTGTTGTGCTGCCGATAGAGAGGCGGCTGGCCACCCTGGGTCACGGCATGGCAAGCTCAGCGGGCTGCCGTGGGCAGCAGGAGAGCTGGGTGCAGAAGGGAGAGCTGTCCTGTTATCAGGGGTCCGTCCTCCCCCAGCCACCACGGAGGGCCCACCCCAGGAATGGACAGCAAGGGGGCCAGCTTTTCAGGCAGCCTGGTGACCAGAGCCTTCACCGCCCCTTCTCCATCTTTCGTGCGCTGGGCGCCACTTTGGCAGAGTGCTCCAGCGCCCAGAGAGTCCCTGCACAGGTGAAACTCCTGTTTAGATTTCTTCTGGAATGCTCCAGACAGGTGAAGGCAGGGACGAAGCTAGGAATGTTCTGGAGACGTGGAAGAAAATAGCTGAGTTCCTGGGAGCACGGTGCGCAGGGCCACAAATGACAGAATGACAGCCACAGTGGATTCCTCCATCCTGTGTGAGACGAGGCGGGTCCCAGGATCTGCTCCCATGGTTACGGGAAGGGTCTGCAGTTACCAAATCCACCTTGTCCTTAGGGTTTGAACCATAATCCCCTGTAAAGGTTTCCCTGGGTCTCTTCAACCACTGGGCGTCCCAGGAGAGTACTGGCTGGGATGGGTGTGCAGATGCTGGAAAAACTGAAGTTGGTCACCAATTCAGAGATAGATTCAAGACCTTTCTCCTGAGGTAGCCACCTCCCTGGCTGGCTCAGTCACAGGAGAGGGAGGTCTTCTGCCCTCTCCTCCTGCCCAGCCAGGGAAACCCAGTTGGCCCCCCTGGCCAGCAGGGAAATGTGTGTGTGTGTGTGTGTGTGTGTGTGTGTGTGAGGGGCTGCTTTCCATGGTACAGTCACTTCTGGGGAGCCCGAAGGTGCAGGGGCAGGCCTGGGGGCAACCCCCTTCAGGATCAAAGGAGCACAATTGTCTGTAGGTGAGGCTTTCTGGGGGCTTGCTCTGCCCTGAGCCCCTTTACCAGCATTCTGTGTGGCAGTGTCTGGGATTGGGGACCCTCCTCAGTAGCGGATCTGGCTTCCTGGTGGGCCTGGGGGCCCAGGAAGACCAGGGGGACCCTGAATCCCTGGTTCACCCTTAGGCCCCACGGGCCCCCGCTGGCCTGGTGAACCCGTTTTCCCAGCAATCCCAGGTTTTCCCTGAGGCCCCGAGGGCCCTGGAGACCCTGGGGGCCCCTCTGGCCCTGGGGGCCCCACATCCCCTTTGGGACCGGGCTGTCCTCTCGGGCCTCCCGATCCAAAACTGCCCTTTGAGCCTTTGAGGCCTGGGGAACCTCGAAGGCCAACAGGCCCCCTTTCTCCCATGGGTCCAATTTCCCCGGGCTGACCCTGAGGACCCTGGGGTCCTGGGGGGCCCAAGCTGCCAGGGTCTCCTTTAGGTCCTCTGCCACCAGCGGGCCCTTTCACTCCCACATCTCCCTTGAGTCCTCTTGGTCCTGGAGGGCCCGGGGCACCTACGGTTAGAGAGAAGAGGGGAGAAGTCAGTCCAGGAGGGCAGGTCTCTCGAGGCTTTCTCATGAAGTAGGGGCACTGCACGGGGCGCTGTGCCACCCAGGGCCCAACGGATGCCAAGCCCAGGTCTGCCAACTGCAGGCTTTGGGAGTTCAGCCTGACTTGACTTCCCTAAGATGACTCTACCATCTGTGAAGTGGGGATGAGAATACTCCCAGAATCTGAGATAGTATGTGGAAGTGTCCAGCACAAGGCCTGGTGCACGGCGGGCATGCACGGTTCTGACTTCAGGCCCAGTTCGAAGTTCTACACGTGCACTCAGGTTGGGGACTGACAGGTGGACAGCTCTGGGAAAAGCCCCGGTCTGCCCAGGACCGTCAGCCCTGCTCCACAGACTGCCCTGGGCGTCTGCACCTCCTCCTGCTCTTTGTTCGCTGTGCTCAGTCCAGCCACACCCCACTCCCCACTCCCCAGGCCCAACTCCAGGCTTTGCTCATGACCCGTGAGGCATCTGGGACGAGGAACGAAGTCCCGTGTTATGGAGAAGGCGGCCAAGAAAGTGAAGCATGAGTGGGCACAGCAACAGCCCAGAAAAAGGGCAACTCCTCCAGGAAGCACACCCTGACCACTCCAGCCTTGTCTCTGAGCTCTTGGGGCTACTGCTTTACGGATCTTGTAGTTGGCATGTAGAAGAGAAGTCATGGGTCAGAGAAAGCAACCCTTGGAGCCTATCTTGTGGATTCTGCTAGGCTGTGGAATCCCAGAAAGATTGTGAGGGCCATGGTTTTTTCCATCCTCTATCCCGGGCCAGAAGCCGGGCACACAGCAGGGAGAGCTCAGCATTATTTGAGGAGGGTGATCCACTAAGCAGCTGACACCTGCTCCCACCGAGCTCTGGCCTAGGGCCTTGGGGAGATGCCAAGATGAAGACATGGCCCTTCCTTACAAAGCCCAGTCTAGTGCCCAAGCAGGGTTCAGATGACCTTAATATCCTTCTGGCTGCATAGGCCTGCAAGGCACCACCTCTCAGCGCTGTACTGACCCTGAGGACACAAAGCAGTGTAGCCACCACTGTGCCCACGGCACATGAGAAATGTCAGGAGCACAGAGGGAAGAAGGACAGCGGTTGAGGACAGCTGTAGCCCCGGCGGGGCCAGAGCACAGCAAAGGCCTGGCTTTCTCCAGCCGTCTCGGCCTAGAAGTGGTGGGAGCCGTGAACCCCAGGGCTGGCCTGGGAGAAGAAGTCCAGTGCCCACAGTCAGCTCTCTGAGAACTCTGCTGTTACATCATCCCCTTGGCAAACAGAATCCTAGAGTTTCTGAGCTGGGTAGGAGCCAGTCCAATTCCTTCATTTCACAGAGGAGGCAACTGAAGCCCGGAGAGGTAAAATGATATTCCCAGAGGTCCCCGAGTGGAAACCAGAACCCAGGTGGCCTCTCCGAGAGAAGGAATCCTGTCTGCGGGGAGCTGGGAGCCCTCCCCCTGGCTGTGGTCCAGGTCTGTGTCCGGGCTCCTTCCCTGGCTGATGCTACCTGCTGCCACCCCACCCTCCCCCATGCTTCCCACCCTGCTTGTCTCCCTCCCGGAGTGTGTCTAAGTGGGACAGAATGTCCGTGAATACCGTCCTCTATTACCATCTAAACTGCAAACCGGAACCCAAACAGAGTCAGTGCCCCCAGGGCCAATAAAAACCTTCCAGCCGCTCCCTTCCACCGCCTGCCATGCCCACCTCCCTCCCACGGCGGGGATGTGGCCCTGCGTGGGCTCAGCTCACGTGGTCTGCCAGCAGCACAAGCTGGGACTCCATCGGCAGGCTGGCTTGGGGAGGGGTGGGCACTGCCCTGGCCTGGGGGCAGCTAGAGTCAGGACCTGCCCTCTGGTCCAGGGCGAGCCCCACCCCCACTCCAGCAAGGCAGCCAGAACAACACGGACCCAGGGAGACCCCCAGCAGGGACTGCTTCCCCCAGCCTGGCAGGACCGGCTGGGAACTGGCAAAGCCACTGCCCTGTCTTCACCCCAGCTCTGCTCTTGGCACCTAGGCCAGCTGAGGCTGGGGAAAAGCAGAGCCATTCAGAGGAGGCGCAGCCCTGGAGGCTGTACGGATGGACGAGAGTCAGAAGGCCGTGGAGGGACCGCAGGCAAGTCCCTGCACATTCGAGCTCAGGTCCTCATTTAGAAAATCGAGTCGCACTGAGCAGTTGCTCAGGGCCCCCGTGGCTCCGTGAGCATCCCTGCCCCTCACCTCCTGCTTTGGGCTCATCCTCTACCTGTTCTGGGAACTGGCTCCAGGGCGTGTCCCCAGCTCCCTGGTTCTTCACTTTCCTCACCTCCGCTTATGACGCTTCCCGCCTTGTCCCCCATGAACGGCCCACAGTCCAGCTGAGCCCCTCACTCTCACCTACTCCTTGCGGTGCCAGCACCTTTGGGGGTGTCCTCCCTTCCTGGCCCCCAGATGCAAGGATTTCTGTGCCAGCAGCTGAGAGAACAGGCCCTCTTTCTTACTCCTCCCTACCGGTCCCTTCGGCTCCCCTTTCTGGGGAAGCCCTCAGTGTCTTTCCTGGATGGGGAAGGCTGGGCACCCACGTGCCCTGGGTGAAGGTTTGTGCAGAAGCCGGGCTCACACCTCCACCTCATTTTCCCAGGAGCTGCAGCCCCCAGCAGGAGTGGAAGCAGGATGGTGAGGAAGCGGTTCCCTCCTTCTCCATACCCCACCATGGCTGCCACTGCTGACCCTGTCTTCGAGACCCAGGCAGGGGTCCCAGGCAGTAGCCTGGAGCACATCCAGTGGGGTGGCTTCATCTGAGGCTGTTGACAGGTGCCGGTGTTGCAGACGGTGGCCCTCCTTGCTGCCTGTGGCAGGGGCCAGTGGACGAGGACTGCTCGTGGGGGTGCACCGACGACTGCCCTGCTCTGTCCGGCCCCTGGCTCACTCTGACTTCCCCGAAGCCGCCTTCTCTCAGAGAAGGGCAGGATGATGAGAGCAGGGAACGTCTGTCCACTGAGTCTCTACTATGTCCCCACACTGTACACTGAGATCGCTGCCCATTTTACAGAGGAGAAACTGTGCAGCACAGAGCAGCAACTTGCCCAGCCTCACCAACCAGTAAGGGGCAGACAGCATTCGAACCCAGGCCTGAGCGGTTCTGAAGCCCATGCTCATTCCTCCCCACCCTGCTGCCTGTACCGCTCATCACATGGTGGCTGGAGCTCCTGGCCCTTCCCCTAACCCTCCAGGGCCTCCTTCCCCGGTGCAGCCTGGCGGAGGGAGAGGGTTCCCACAGACAGGGGAAGGGGTACTCAGAAGGACTGTCCTCCTCAGGTGAGCCAAGCTTCCGCCTGTCCCTCCTGGGTCAGCCATGAATCATGCGGTCAGAGAATGGAGAGCTGGCAGGCCTGAGGCTGGCCAGGGAGGAAGTCAACAACCGTAGTTTAGTGTTAGCACGGCGGAAAGGCATGTGGACGGAGGCTGACCAAGGCTCCAGGACAGGGTGCCCCGACAGCTGGGAATAAGATCCTCGTATCGGCAGAGCTAAAGGACGGAGGACTAAGTGCTACTCTGAGCAGTGGGGGCACATTTCAAGCAAAGGGGGCAACAAGAGCAGCACTAGCTGAGCTGGGGCGTTGGACGTGGGGAACAGAGTACTCTGGAGTCCTGGGGAGGCCCATAATTACTCAGGAAGCCAGAGGCTGTAATTAGGCCACCCTGGCCCATTAGGGCAGAGCCACAACTGACTGCATGTCTGGGACAAGTAGGTGGTCTGCTCCTGGTCTGCACTGGGAACAGGGAAGGGGTGGGGGAGGAGCAGAAGTACCAAGTCTCTCAGGGCACCAAAGCTGCCCGCCCAGGGGTGGGGTGGTGCATGGGCAGGAAGGGCCCAAAGTTCATCTCACGGCCCAAAGCAACAAGCCGGCTTACAAAAGTAGGACACAGAGGCAGAAGGGGTGCCTCTTGGGGTGGTGGCCTGGTGCCATGGAGGGCACAGTGAACTGGAACTTGGGGGATGTGGGTTTGAGTCCCAGCTCTGGTATTAACACATTGCGTGGCTGAATAAGGCTCTGCCCCTCTTTGGACTTCAGGCTTCCCTCTGTTCATGAAAATATTGGTCTGGGTGTAGAACTCTCAATCCTGGCTTTAAAAAAAAATCATTTTAGAGAGAGAGGGAGAAAGAGAGAGAGAGAAACATTGATGTGAGAGAGAAACATCCGTCAGTTGCCTCCCATATGCACTCCGACCAGGGACCAAATCCACAAGCTAGGCATGTGCCCTGACCAGGAATCGAACCGGTGACCCTTCAGTAATCAAGACGATGTTCAACCAACTGAGCCACTCTAGCCAAGGCTCAATCTTGGCTTTTGTCACTTGAGGAGCATTGAAAAAAAATGCCAATGGACTTGCACTTGTACCTGTAATGGTCTAGTTTGTGACAGACAAGACCTTTCACCGAGTACAACCAGAATCATTAGATAAAATACCAAGACAGCTTTCTGATACCTTTGGAGAGAATTCAGGGGCTAAAAACCCCAGAAGGGGACCCACTGAACTAAGCCTGACATTAGTTGATGAGTAATGGGTTTGGGCAGGGAGGCTGAGGAGCTGGACAGAGGCTGCAGCTGTCAGGCTGAGAAGCTGAGTTGGGCTTCAGCAGCTTCAGTGGGGCTGGAATTCAGGGCGGCCAAAGTTCAGGGTCAAGATTCAGAAGAAAAGGAGAAAAGGAAACAGTGTGTGTATTCTCTATGAGGATGCAGGGCAGAGAAGCTGAGCAGAGCATTTAGCTCTGTGTACTCAGTCAGTCTTGTGCTGCTGATGAGATGTTCATTGGAGCTCAAGGCCGACAAAGTGGTAGGGCCCTCAAGGACCATGCCCTAGATGTAAGTTTGTATCAGATAGCACACTGATGCTCACAACTACCCCATGGATATAAGCAAGGCAGGTATTTTATTTGCGGATGAGGAAACTGAGTTGAAAGTAGCCAAGAGCTTTGTCCAAGGTCATTCAGCTAAT